TCTTCAATGAGAATATGCTTTTTCAGAAAAGAAGCTGAGTGGGATGCAAATAATGCCAAATTACAGTCCCCTTGCAAGGTTGGATTGAGATTGCTGTTGTGTAGTAAGAAAGAAAACTTAAGTATCAACATATTCAAGGGCTTCTTTCAGATTCAGGAGAACAAGGATGGCTTACTGCACTCCTCAGCCCAAGGAGCAGCTTACCTCTCCTCCTACTTGTCGGGGAAATACTTTCTAGGATGTACAGATGTATGCAGAAATAGTTTTCTCTCTCCTCTTTTTTACCTTCAAAACTAGAAAGACCCTCACAAACTCTCAGAGCAGCGAGAAGCACTCTGTGATGGCCAGAACCCGCTGCCCATCTATGTGGCAGTCAGCGTCCGGGACAGTTACAGCACCAATGATTTCAAAGGTAAGAATGGTGGTTCAGACTATGTGAGGCTAAAACTGGCATCTCAGTTCCTGTGATTTCCTCTTCTCCCCTTGGTAGCACTTGGAGAAAACAATCGTGGTGTGTTCTTTTGTTTTTTTGGAGAAATAATCTTCACTTCCATGCCTTACAGTTTTAATACAAGGGGTTTGGGGAGCAACATTCACTGTCTAGACATACACTGTAGAAATTCTGCCAGAAATGCCATTTTTGAAATATTATTGGACCTACCTAGAATGAGGTCTATTGGAATTATCTGAGAATTGTTTTTTCCTAATTCCCAGTTATAGTTTCAATATGAATAATGACCACATAGTTATGATAAAGTTTGGGAAGGTTCCCAACCTACTCCGACTAAATCTGTTTCTTCTCTCATTGTTTTGGTTATTTTTTTTCCATGAGGGGAAGTAGATGAGGAGAAGAAGCAGAACAAAAATTAAGATCAAATTTTGTTATGGTTGAGGTGAAAAATTGAACCACTTCTGAATGAAAAGAAAATTATGGTCTATGCCATTTCTGTCCCAGTTTTCATTCACACTGCAGTTATATTGGACAACTGCGCTTCATTTGGAGAGGATATCCAATAAAGTCAAAGACTAGTTTCCTCTTCCTTGGTACAACACATAAAGAGTAGAATTGGTCTCTTACAAAAATACAATTTCTGAAGAGCTGAGTACCTGTCTTTGTACCTAAACAAATTATTTAAAGGAAGTTAAATTGACTGCATCGGTAACAGTGGAAGTACTCTCACCTAGATGTGGTGTATGGAAAGGCAGAGCAAAACCTTGTACATGCTGGAAAACCCACAGAATGTGTAAGATCTGGAGACTTGCCTTGCTTCCAGTGTGCACTTTTTGCCTTAGGCAACACCATCATTAACAGTAAACTGCTCCTGCCTCCCCATTAACACTATGTCTGAGCTCAGCTGCCTGTCCTGGAGAGGGTCATTTATAAAAAAGGCTTTGAAAATTCAACATAGTAAATGCATAGTAATCAACGTATACCCTAGCTGCCCCTCTCTCCACACCCATGTGGGAGCCCTCTAAGTGTCCCATTGTGGCTGCATTACAGAGTGGGTGGAGTTCACCCCCTATGAGGTGGGACTTCTGAAGTACGGCGCATTCGTTCGCACAGAGAATTTTGGAAGTGAGTTCTTCATGGGACGCTTGTTAAAAAAACTCCCTGAATCCCGCATCTGCTACCTTCAAGGTAATGTATTGCATTGTCCTGTCACAGAAGCACTTCGGAGGGATGCAACGCTGTTAACCAGAGGGTAGATATTTCTGTTCTAACATACTGAGGACTGCCATGATATTGCCTGCTAGGAAATGGGAACGGTAGTCTGTCCAAAAAAATACAGTAAAAAACCCGAAGTCTTATTTCAGTTTCTTGTCACTGTCTTGGTAGATGAGATATCTGTGTCTTCGAGATGGAATAGATGAGGCTCCTTAATTCTTTCCTTGTAAGGAATATTTCCCATTTCTTTGGTTTTTCTTCTGATTCCTCTCTGAATGCACTCCAACTTAAGACCAATTGTGGTAGTCAGATTTAAATTTAAAATGACAGATGAAATGATGGCACTGTGTTTTGTCAATAAAGCCACCAGTGCCCCAGTGGGGAAGCAGAGAGGGGCAATCCTGGGTAGAGAAAAGGAGTGCACAGTGGAGCTAGAGTCCACTGCATCTGTGAGCCTTTACAAGCTGCGGTGTGAGATCTTGTCATATAAACCAAACATCTGAAGACCCAGTTCATTTCACTTTGAAAAAATTCAGGGTGTGTGGAAGGTGATCAAAATATGCAAAGAAAAAAAAAGCTGGAGTAAGAAAGACAGGAATGGAAAGGATATGTTTGTGATGTTTGTGTCATATAAACTCTTATTTTGTCTCTTGAGTGAGTCATGTCTTTTCTCCTTTACTTGTCCCACATTCTTTTCTCTCTTTACCATGTAGCAGAGCCATGCAGTAGGTTAGGCTCAAAGCTGATGGTAGCATGACCTGGAATAATGCCATAGAAAGAGGAATTTAACAGTGTGAAACTTCAGATATATTTGTATTAAGCCCATTCAAAAATGAAGCCAGGAGGTCAAAATAGAAGGAAAAATGCATTTTCTTGTTAGAATGTGTCCTTGTGTTCACTAATTCCTTTTACAGGTATGTGGAGCAGTATATTTTCTGTGAACCTGTTACAAATATGGGGACTTTCCCACAATTCAGAGGACTTCTGGAAGAGATGGACACAAGACAGAATAGAAGAAGTTGGTGAGAAATTATTAAGCCTTTCATTTATGGACGTTTAGGCATTTACTCTTCTGGATAACTTTTGGCATCATCGTTTCAACTATGTTGAACCTAGTATCATAGGATCTTCCTAAGAGATAGCAACTTCTCCTCATACTTTATAGACTAATAGGGGGTAATGAGAGAAAGGCTCCTGTAATCAAAAGACTTACTAAAGCTCTACTGATTCCTTAAAAAGAAGTTTTGGAGGGGTCAGACATTTCTCAGGAAGAGTTTTGGCATTGCCCACTCTCAGCTATACAGAACCAAGAACCAGTGGCAGAAAATATGGCTATTTTTACTGCCTGTGCAGAAAATAAACCTGAATATCAATTGGTGTAAATAATATTTCATGGGTTTTTATTTTATTATTCAGTACAGTAATTAGTGCATTGGATTCATCCGGGCACAAAGATAAATAAGGCCCAGAGGGTATTTTCTGAAGCAATATAGAAACCATGATTTTATTGCTAAATCATTTAATATGTTAGTAACTATAATTACAGACATCCTGAAAAATACAGAAATACATCTGTGCAATCATAGAAACCACTAAGTCTCTCCTGCTGCATTGTCAGCCTCTTGGTCCAGCAAAGCAGGTTGTGATTTCAAGAAACCACACCTCTTGCTGAAGTACGACAGGTACCCACCCTAAAAATTAGACATAGTTTCTGAATATGAATGCATGCCCCAGGTTTTCCTGCTCTCACTCTGCTGATTAAGCACATGCTCATGCTGCCAGGAGTGAATATCAGGTAGCAGCTGTCATTGTTGCAATAGACCCCGTGGTTGCTGTTGTTGCCCATCTGACTGAGGAGTAGCATATGAGTCAGCCCCATTTTCTCCATGCTTACTTTTGCTTCTGATACCTTCCTGTGAGGACATGTAACTTTCCTTCTGACAGAACATTCTCTGAATTTCTTAGTTCCCAAGGTGTCTCTTTTCCAGGACAAAAGACTGCTTCTGATGAACTGTCTTTAGGCCAAAGCTTAAGACCATCAGCAGAGCTTAGTTCAGCAGCCACTCCTTTCCTTTGGAATAGGTTGTGTGTATGTAGTGAATCATCCCAGAACAGACCTTGTACACCAGGGCAGCCAGAAATGAACATTATTTAACAAGCACTTCACCAGCTTTTCTGCCCTCTTCTAGATGAAGACCCCGTGTTGCCCACAAGGCCCCATGAGCTGAGGACTCGCATGTACACTCCTCCTGGCCCCTTGTCCAGTGCCCTACGAGGAGCATTGACAGATCGTTTCTCCGTCGCCCAGCACCACAATTTCCTGAAGGGCTACCAGCTGCATAACAACTACATGGAGAATGAGCACTTTTGTCAATGGAAAGGTGATGGGGACTGGCATAATTTTCAGGTAGTTTCAGGGTGGACAATTTAGGAAAGAAGCCTGTCAGGCTTGGCAGTGGAAAAGAACCTCCTGAGAGAATGCTTATTTTCTGAACAGAAATAAGATACTAAGGCTTCAGTGTTGCCACTCTTTTTAAACATATGTGTTTATTTGCTTGGCTGAGCCCTCTGCAGTCCAGACTGATAGGATAGGCTTGTGGCTGGCAGAATCAAATTTAAAGTGGCAGAGAGCAGAGTGAACATGGGAGAAAACTTAATTTGGCAAGACTATGCCTCTAACTTCAGATGCAACTGGAATATCCAAGAAAATATCACCTACGAGAGAAAGGAATGGGACTTTGTAGTCCAAAGAAGAGGGGACTGAGGGGGAGGCACAAATCCAAATGTACAAAGGATTGAGAATATTGTGTTCTCCAAATCAGTGATAGATAAGAGATGAAACAATGACTGAAATTAAGCAAGGCAGATTTAGGTTAATCATTAGATGTAGCTTACTTGCACTAATGAGTATGACATGCTAGTGGAATATATTGCCTGGAAAGTCAACACAGAAGATTTTTTAGAACAGGAGTTTAGGCATTTTGCAGTCCTACTTGCACTTGTTTGACAGTCCAGTAGTATGGCAATTAAATTGAACCAGGCCTCTGGGATGGTCAGTTCCACTTTACACTTTTTTTTTCCAGTCAAAATACCTGCAGATCAATTCTTATTCCAAGAAATATTTTCCTTTTAGACACTGTGCTAGACTCACGTCCCAACCAGCTGGTGCAAAATCCTGATCAACTGGGCATGATAGATGCTGGATTTTTCATCAATACCAGCAGTGCACCCCTTTTAAGGCCACAGAGGGAAGTAGATGTCATCATATATCTAAGTTATACGACTGGATCACATACATCGGTGAGGACGTTCTTGTTACCATGTGTTGTGTTTCCTTTTACTTGTAAATGTCCAGCCTGTGACATTTAGAACTGCTGGTTATTTCAACTCTTCAGTTTTCAATGTCTGCATTCCCCTGTTTTTCACCGTAGGGATTAATGTTGTTCTTATTTCTTCCTGTCACTCCCGGAATCCTTCTTTCTGGTTTATGAATACATCAAATTATTCAAGGGAACATCAGCATGGTCTCTTCCAGATGATGGAAAGAGCCTCTTCTGTTTTATGCTGACTCAAGCAGGTTTCCAAACCCTGCACAGGAATATTCATAAAGATGAGGAAGTGATTTCTTCTGACTTAAATTAGAATATAAAAAGGGTTAAATGGATATCAGAAGCAGATAATTTCTGAGCTGACAAAGAAGATGCTACAAGTAAAATTCAGTGACAAGCATCTTCCTGCAGAAACCCCAGTTTCATGGAGATGAAGCTAATTAGCTATCCATAAGGGCTTGCAGTAAAGAAGTTTGGGCCTTTATATGTCAGAAACTGAGGTTAATTGGAAACTCATTATTAGCCATCTTGGCCTACCTAAATGGAATTTCTTTTTCTGAATGAGAACAGCTGCGCTACCCCTAATAAGCTGTATGTTGCATGAGACATATAATTAATGAAGTTTAATTTCAATCTCATTCATTGTCTGATAAAATTTAGGAAGAAAGTTTGCCAGAGTTTTAAACATTTTAGGAGAAAATTTTTCTACTTGATAGTGTCCACTATTAGATGGTGCAGAGTAAATAACACAGTACATATTAGGACGTGGTATTTTACTAAACATTTCAGGGAAAAGATACGGTATAGCCGAGAACTTCAGACTTTCTCAGTAAACTGTCAATCTCAATTAACACTGTGCCATAATGCCTGCACAGGCAGAGACATAATTGCGCATTTAAAATTAACTTTGTGATCTTCTGGCTTCCAGGTACATAATAAGATGCCTAAAAGATTTTCTTGCTGTCATTTTCTTTTCTAGTTAATTCTATACAATATATTAAACATAGGCTCTTTTATTTGCTAAAACTCATGCTTTACCCTAAACGTCTGCAAATTGCTTCAATTTTTTGAAAAAAGCATTGTCCTGGATGAATTCTCCAACTCTGAAGTTTTGTTTACATCTTGTGATTAGAAATGTTGTTACTATCTTCTGTAATTATGTATGGAATAACTTTTGATAAGAAAGAGCTCACCCAATGGATCTGAGTCACTAAACCTTAATACTAGATGACAATTTGGGGCCTTTAGACAACAAAGTTAAATTTCATTGCTGACCATGTCTGTGATCCTCCAGTCTCTAGATAAGGCGTGTAAATACTACTCAGAGCAGAAAATCCCATTCCCAAAAATTTCTTTGACTGACGAAGATAAGAAAAATCTGAAGGAGTGCTACCTCTTCCATGATTCAGATTTACCAGGATGTCCGATTGTGATTTTTCTTCCCCTTGTGAATGATACTTTCCAAGAGTACAAAGCACCTGGTAAGTTACAAGTAGTGGCAAAGCATTAAAAAAAAAAGACAACACTGCCTGCTTCCCTGACTCAGACGGAGCCTTTTTCTTTGTTGCTGGCTATCTTTGCTGACTGGGTTAATGGGGGGCCTGTCACTCTTTTTCTTCCAGGCCACCTGCTTTGCATTCCTCTTCTTTAGCACGGATTACTAGAATGCATTTGTTCTGTTCCTTGGCAGCAGGGAGGTTAAGTCTAAAATTCTGCTTTTGTGGAATTCGGGCAACACAGGAAATGGAAAGAAAAAGATGGATCCTGCTGGCATCCATCCAACCACATTTGGGATCACAGGAACTCTAAGTTTCCATATGTTTCTTATTTAAATTCTATTCTCTTGCTAGCAACTTCTTCCTCAGTTGAGATTCATAGAAATCCCAGCTGCTCAGAATAAGACCTGAAGTGCACCAGGAGTGGTTTTTGAAGTGCCCTTTCAGGCTGACATCCTTGCTGGATCCACAGCTTTAACGAGACAGATGTTTAGGAGTAAGCTGTAGATAACCATTACAATGCAATCCCTCACTTCTCCCTTCTGCCCTCACTTCAGGCCCACAATGTTCTCTTGACTAGGGGTGGGTATACATGACTTACATTGTTTGTGCATTTAAACCCTATGAATTTTCTTCTGGAGAAAAGTCCCCTCTGAGTTTTTGTGGGCAGCCTGACACTGACTGAGATGAACATTATGTTACAGCAACAACAACTCTTTCTCTCCAGGTGTCAAGCGCTGTTGCTCAGAGATGGAGGGAGGACAACTTGATTTGACCAGCTGCTGTTCCCCCTACTGCATGTTCTCGGTCAGGTACACCGATGACAATTACCGCAAGCTGCTGAATCTCAGTGAATACAATATCCTGAACAACTCCCAGATGATTATGCAGGCCTTGCAGATAGCAATGCAAAGGAGAAGGCAGAAGATGTGCTGATCGCCCATCCAACTGACCTTATCTTCTCAGAGGGGTTTTTCATGCTCTAGGACACAGAAGGACATAGCTTTTTCAACACTGGCCATTCTGCACTACAGAAAGAAACTACCCCAGGTGGTGCAGTGGTTTGTTGAGTTTTTTTTTTATTCTAAGAAGTGGCATCTATAGGCAAAGACATTGCCTGAGAAATTTTTACATATGTTTTGTTCTCTAAAGTAAGATTGTCTGTAGAACATTCTTTATTGAAAACACTTGTTAGATTTTAAAAATAGAGTGTTTTAGGCCTAACTGATTATAGCATGTGACATAAAGGAAAATAATTTTTTACCACCAGAGTGCTGCAGTTATGCAACACAGCCAACACACCTACAGGCCATAAGAAGGGAGTATAAACTTCTGCTCCCACAATTCTTCTTCATGGAACACAAGGTACAACCTGGAAAACAAAGAGAACCTGAGACACAACTGGAAGCTAGCGTTGGATCCCTGGGTCAACTCTGTTTTGCGAGCATCCCAAAGAGCAACCACAGAGGTTGGAAGGAGGAAGGAGGGACGAGTGTGTGAACATAGGCAGCCCTATGAATTGCATCCACATCCTGGGCTCTCTTGGGCTGTGAATGAATCATACGTGATGGGAAAGAGCAACTTAGGAGGAAGTGGCATAACACTTTTCACACAATTTTTTTTTAAAGCAAAGGGTGTAATTTGGGCACATCAAAATTTCCTGTGAATTTATGTCAGTTTTGTTTTGTACTGAGACAGTATATAAAATCTCAACATTTTATTTCAAAGTTTTCAAAATAAAACACCCTTAATTTTTTTTCCCAGTTGAATTACATCTCATATTAAAATACTCTTCTTAAATTAAAAAGAAAAGGTGCTTGAAAATATTTTACTTCCAGTAGATAATGAAAACTTTGTTGTCTTACTCAATGCAAACAGTTTCGGACATATGCCTATCAACAAAACTACTTATTTGTTCAATTCTGCCTGTACAAACTGTGTGGGAGTGAATCAGTAGTCTGCAGCAACTAAGACCATCTTAAAACAATCTGCACAAACCATCCATGGGATCTAGCACAAGATCATAAATAATATTTGTTGTAGTTTTGCATTTTTAAACTTTCTTCCTCTTTCCTTTTATGGAAAGTATCTTTTTTGAACTGTTCTGAACTGTGCTGAGAGTGTAAAAACTATAAATCCATAATAACTTTCGCATTTCACGAGCAAGTAAAATTAAAAATACACTTTGTTGTCCTAGCAACAACTGCAAAAATTTTGAATAAAGAGTCTCTTCAGTAAAAAAAAAAATCTATCAACTAGATGTTATAATCTGTGGCTAAAATAAACCAGGTAAAATGCTTAGGTAAGTTGAAACATTTCATGCTGATATTTTACAAAACATCTTTGTTTTGAAACATAAGTTCTTTTTAATAGACTGCCTACCTCGTCAGCCCAGGGAACCCAACCTGAAAATAACAGGTTTCATTTACAGCCAAATAATATGTTTGGCTTGTTGCAAAATGACTCTCTGAGGATTTTTGTTTTGGCAAGAAGCAATGAAAAATTATCTTACAAATTGGTTCACAATGACTTTTGCCAACACTTTTGTCATTCATGATGTCAAACCAAACCTTATGTTTTTGTGCAACTTTAGCCTAATGTTACAAGCCTAAAGATCACAGGATAAATATTAACGTTCAAAACTTTAGGTTTTGAATGACTCTGAACTTCTGCTGGTATCTTTTTTGTTCTATGGTAGTTTCACTAGTCATAATCAGAAATAGGATGCTATGTGCTCTGCATATAACTCTGGGAATTGCCTCCATTTTTACTTGAAAATCCTGTTGTGAAAATATAAACACAGTTTTTAGCCATAAACTCATGCCGCCTCCAGTTCAGACGAAATGTTATTTACATGCAAATACTTTGTGTATACAGTACCAGACAATAAAGGCTTGTTTGCAAAATGAAAATTCTGCCTTGTTCCACATATTCAGACATTTCAGTAACATGCTCCAGGTTCACAGTATGTTCCTTGTTCCTGGAAAACAAAACTGTTGTTATCTCTGCAAAGAGCAGACAAAATATTTACTGTGAGCATTGTGGATAAAGGAATGTATCAGAGACAGTTTGCAGGGGTACACAGTGAGCCATGGTCCCTCCCTCCTGCAGGGGCTGTCTCTAATGTGGATTGCAAACACTATTCATGAAAATGAGAGCTTTTTGACCCCTGGCACTGTGGGAGTTACAGCCTCAGATTCCCAGTCCTGGAGGACAGTTTGGTTTATAGCTTTGCCCTCCAAGGAAGTGTCATTATAAAGCACCATCTTTAACTATGACTGAAAGATGCTGATGTTGCCAAGGGTTTTCTGTGACCTAATGAAAAATGCATTTCATCAAGCTACATCATTGCAACTGGCACACAAACGAAACATGCCATATATGTAGACACAACCCTCTGTGGTGTTATGAAGTACCATAGCCTATGCCAAAAATTTACTCTACCAAGTTGACTGCGATGACTGTTGATGTTATTTTGCAGGGGAATATGCAAAGGGGAACTGGCTGGTGGCAGCATTTAACCAGTAAGCTCAAGAATACTCAGAGAATGAGCACTTTTTGCTCATAGACGATGTACTGGGGGAGCAGGGAAAAAAAGGAAGCTCCTCCCCCAGAGATTTTGTCCTGTTTTGACCTGTTGTAGATGCAACAGTATTTGGCTGTCTTTTTTAATCTTCTTCTGGTAAGTTGGGAGTCACGCCAGTTTTGGTGCATAGGAGTCAGCTGGGTTCTCACAGGGGCAGGTGTACTGTTCTGGCAGTGGTTTCACAGGTGTGATGAGGACTTTTAGGAAGGCAGCACATGGTCAGTGCTGAGTTTTGCCTCTGGCTGGCAGATTTCATTGGGTCAGATGTGGGCACTTAAATGCAGCTAGTTTGCAGCTGGAGTCAGTCTGAGCTGGAAAGTGATGCAAAAATATTCATGGGGGTGAAGCTAAGCTGAGGAAAGTAATTGCTTCAGGACTCTACATCTAAGCATGTAAGTAATAATAACATGCCATAAGAAAGAAGAGGGAAGGAATACAGTGACTTTAGGACAGACCCAGCCCTGCTGAACCTAGGCTGAGTAGATATAAACCACCATGCAAGTGTATCTGTCCTGCATGCCTAGACCTGGGGTTGTAGGGGCATATGGTTCAGAAAGTCTTAAACTGGTTTTTGCAGTAACCTGTTTAGGTTCAGAGCAATAGTGTTGTGTCTGTTTTTCTTCATTAGCTGTTTTATTCTATCTGCTTACTGTCACAGACAACCTAAATTCAATTTATGTACTTTGCTGTATCTTATTATAGAATATGTACTTCTGTAGACTTTGAGGTCTTGCTCACTTGAAAGTTCAGTGCTCAGATAAAAGGGCATCCTTCTCTTACCATTAGTTATAAACCTGCCATTGACCAGTATGGAGCAAAGTGACTCAAATACCATACTTCCACACGCTATATAGGCAAAAGTATTTTTTCCTACTTATTTGACCACAGGATTCATCTTCCTACCATAAAAAAATGGGAGGGTTTAACTGGCTTTAAGAAACCAGTCAGAGGTGGGGCTCTGAGTCAGTTTATAAAATAGTTGCTCACCTGCATATGAGACATTTGAACTACTGGTGTCTGTGGAAGCTGAGAGATGTGAAATTGCATTGCTGCAGATAACACAGGACTTGTATGTGACTGCAACCACAATGGAACAAGATGGCCTTTTGTCTCAGGTAAGAAAGGTACAGAACAAAGCAAGGCATCTGGGATCTCAACTGGTTACACTGCAAAGATGATACTACTTTCTTGGGATACCATTGACTGTAATAATTCTGCATAGGATGAAGAAAGTCAGTGCTTCAAGATCTCAATATTGAACATTTAAAAATTGTAGTAAACCATAGGAAGGAAGTGAAAACTCCTCGGGGAATAAGAACTTATTTACAAAGGGAGCATTTTGAAAATTTAGGGGTTTTCTTAATTTTGGATATGTAATATATGCAACCTTAGAATAAGTATTAAAGAACATGGAGGTGTACTTCAAGGTGAAAGATTAATGACAGGGTGTGTTTATGGGAGACAGGTTTGCTGTTCCTTTAACAGCCGGAGCCAGGAGCTGCTTCCCCTCCCCTTGTGTCATGCAAAGGGTGGATCTTAACTGGCTGCTACGCCTCTGCTCAGGCTTACTGGGGCAAGCGCAGCATAGGCAGTGGCACCAGGCACTGCTGGAAACCCCTGTACCTGGGCTCCCTGTCACTGCGGTTCTGAAGTTCTCAATTCCCAATGAGGATTGCCATTTAGAGACAGGATGGTTTTTCCAGAGATAACGTTGGCCCTTCTGGTTGCAGGACCTGATCTCTCAAACCTCTCGGCTAGGAGACGGAACTATGTGGCTGAATTCTGAAGGGGAACAGTGGACTTCTCTGACAAAGGTACCACAAAGGAGAATTTCAAAAGGAAACTATAAAAGGGACTTTCCAGCTGGGTGGAGACTGGGTGAAAACAGATAGGCTTCAACATCTGCCAAACAGTCTAATTAGCTACTCTAACCCATCCAGTTCCCTCCATGAAACAAAGTCCCGCTTATCATTTTGATCACTCCACTTACATAATCTTGCTTCATGTTAAAGTCCTAATGCGGTTTCCTGTCCTTGGCACATGGGAAACAACCTCTGTTTTAACAAGACTAATATCTTTTAAAGGATGAGTTTGAATAGGCTTTCTCTGCATATGTCTTGTTAAGGCCCAAGGGCAAAATTACTGCCAGTGTAGATTGTAATAGCTGGGAAATTATGCCATTTATTCTCACAAAGAGTATGGCAGAATGTTGAAGTGGATTTTCAACAGCTGATTTCCTCAATTTGATCCCTTCTCTGGCTTCCAAAAAAATAGTAGTTTTCAAGGAGACTTCAGACACGACATCTTTCCTCTAGGAAATCAGAGGACTAGATATGCTAGAAAAGTTTTT